CCCAGGCTCTTTTGATGCCTTCTTCCTAATACCCAGCCACAGCTTTAAACTATAAGGGCTTCTGAGCTCCAGAGTGCTGAGTGGAGTCACCTACTGGCATGCTGCTCCAAAACCATCCAGAAAGTAGAGCCCATCAGCAGACACCTCCCCCAGATCTTGCAGGCAGTCCTGCCATGAAGGATGTCTAAAGCAAATGCAGAAGGGAAGAAGAATCTTTCAGAGTTATTTTATGGCTTTCATTTTCTTGGCAGATTTTTCTCTAGCCATCAAATACCAAGGATATATTTAAAGAAAAAAAAAATTAAAAACTGTGGAAACAGAAATAAAAGGTAAGTTTGACCAATTACATTTCTTCATTTGGTATGAAAGTTTATACTTGTCCAACAGTCAAACTTCATCTTAATAAAATAAGCTTTTCTAAATCACTTTTGAAAAATAGTCACATATGGGATGCATTACATACATAGGTGTTCTGAGGCCAGAAAACATATTTTTATTCTATGTCTGCAGCACATAGTGCTGTGGAATTCTGGTGAGTGACCACGGCTCCGAGTGCAGAGAACATTACAAGCACACAACCTGACTGTACACATATTATATTTGAAACAAGAAAGATTTTCAGGCATACCAGCACACCATTCTTTTCAGAGCTGAAGAAGATTTTAAAGTGCTTAAAGTGAGCGTTTTTATCTCAAAGCAATTTATACTTTGGATTTCCTATGTCCTCTTTCTGAGCACTTGCAAACGAAATGCAGGTATATGTCTAGATGAAGTGATATTTTGAGGAAAAAAAAAAAAAAACAATAGCAAAGTCAAAACAATTCATTAAAAAAATATAACTGATGAACACCAACAAACATTTCCCCTTGCTTTATTTTTTCGTTGTTCTATTGATGAAAATCTATACACTAAAATAATGATGTTCTGTCAGTCTAAACGTGAAGCATAGTCCAGAGACTGATTATCCAGTAGGCTCTATGAAAAATTTATCATAATTCACACTGACCTCTTTTCATATATTACTTTATACTGATTGACACAAAGTAAAATTTTGAGATGAAGTTCTCTAAGCTATACCTCTATGAAGGTGTTTTTTTTTTTTTTTTTTTTTTTTTTAAAACGTAGTTATCCCTACCAGAACAAACAGTAAAATGTCTGAAAGAGAACCACTGGACTAGTACATTAATAAAGTGCTCTGAAAGCACAGGATATCTTCCCTTATTTTATGTCATTTACTACTCTTTGCCTACTTAAATAAAATGTTTGAAATAAAAAGCGAAAACCCTTTTCCATGCTGACTGGAACTGATGGTAACAGAAAAATCAGAATCATTAAGGCTGGAAGAGACCACTAAGTTTATCTAGTCCAGCCATCAGCCCATCATCACCATGCCCACTATACCACATCCCTTAGTGCCATATCTGCATGTTTCCTCACCAGTGTGAATAAGAGAGACCATCACCTCCCTTTTCCTGCTGACTACATTAGTTTTGAGACAACCCAGGATGCCACTGGCCTTCCTGGCTACCTGGGCACCTCGTTGGCTCATGTTCAGCTGGCTGTCAAATAACACTCCCAGATTCTCTTGCTTACACATTGCCTTCCTTACATTACTCTGGGCAGAATACTCAATATGCACCTGCAGACAGCCTTGTTTTCACATGGATCACCCTTGAGGTGCTGCTCATCTCACCCCTCTTGGAAGTCAGTAACCAGGTGTGTTCACTGCCCAAAGGATACAGTACCCATAAAACAAAGACACCTTTCATCTCTGTGAGCATGCCCTGCAAGCTAGGCTCCTCTACAGATCACACACCTTCCAGCGTAGCTGTGAACACACGTGCCCAGCTTCCAAACGCAAGAGCTGATGACAAGTTCAAAGGGGAAAGTTATGGTGGTACTGGAGGCTTAGATTAGATATTAGGAAGAAGTTTTTCACTCAGAGGTGGTAAGGCACTAGCACAGGTTGCCCAGAGAAGCTGTGAATGCTCCATCCCTGAAGACATTCAAGGCAAGGTTGGATGGGTTACTGGGCAGCCTGAGCTGGTGGGTGGCAAACCAGCCCACAACAGGGATTGGGACTAAGTGACCTTTATGGACCTTTCCAACCCAAGTCATTCTATGGTTCTATCGTTCTACGAGACTGAGAATAAGGGAGTGAAACGTTTAGCAAAAGACTTGCACAAGCACCTCTCTAATTTTAAAGAGCAAAAAGCGTAGGGGGACATCGCTACCTTCATATTAGCAAAACATGAAGGGATATGGATGCATACATTCCTATTTTCTGCTTCAAAAGTAGATTGGCTTGGAATTACTGTTCTTGAATGTTACTGCCAGAGCAGACATTTCTCATGCTGCTGCCATATAAAAAAATATAGAAAACATCAGTGAGTTTGTCATCAGTAGCTAAGTTTCATGCACACTTTTAGCTCTTCCTCTTAACTGAGTGCCAGACATATGGCCCTGCACATCACATTCCATTCCCTGCAGCAGAGTTGTCCAGAGCCCAGGTGAGGTGCTCATTCTCCTGCCTTCTCTGACCTGGAGGGATGTGCCCAACTGTGTTGGGATTTGGGGTGCACTAGGGCCAGCTCCTCCACTGACAAAACTCGTGAAATCTCCCTGAAGTTATTATAAGTAATTCCGATGCGCTCAAGAGGAGGATCTGGCCCCTGTCAGGCCCTGGCTCCTCTGCAAAGGCTTTTAATGAGACGCCAACTGCCCTGGCAGGGAGGAGGCACTGAGCAGAGCTCAGAGGCAGTGGTAGCAGACAGGAGCTCAGCCCAATAACATTCTTCTATGCAAGAATTAAGTACAGCACTTCTTTTAAGCTTAAAACAATTGTTACTGTTCTACTAAAACAAAGAACAACTCACACGCTAAATACCAGCAAGAAATGGGAAAGGAAATGAAACAAACAAAACAAACCAACAACAACAAAAAAAAGCCATCAGTGAGCAGGAAGCTGGATCCAGCCAGGCTGGCAGTACGTGCTGCCATAACACCATGGCATTGCTTCTCTTCAGCCCCAAACTCTGCCACAGAAAACTTACATATCCCCACAGGACTTCCCTATACTAACCACTCAGTGCAGAATGGCTACAGCTGACAGCACTGCTGGGCCTCAGCACAATGCCAGGCATACCCACTACCTCGAAGAGAACCTTATCTCTGCTCAGGGTCTGACAGCAAAGCTCCATTCAGACTGGGAGCACTGTTCTACAGAACTCTGCAGCAGAAGGGATACAAATTTCTAAGCTAGAGATGATCTGGATACCTCTTGCTAAAAACACAATGAACAAAATAAAAGCTTCTCCCTACCTCAACCACAAAGAAATAAACATAGGCATAAGTGATTCTTCCTTTCTGCCATCTGTTTTGTACCTCTACCTTCATTCACCTGATGGAAGCAGGTATGGCTACAGCCATTTGCCTTCATGGTCCACCAGCAGCAGCCCCAGTGTGGCTCTAGGGCCCAGCCTAGCCCTAAGGTTATTCAGAGACACAGAACATGGGGGATCAAGGCCCCCTGCCCCTCACAGCAGTACCACCACTATGCTTCACAAAGGAGAAGCACATAAAGGCTGCGAGCACACTGAGAGGTGGGAATCGTGACTCTCTCTCCGGATTCAGAAAGAAGGACCCCAGCTAATTAAAAACATCCATGAAGTCTAATAGCGCTTTTTTGGAGCAAAATAACAAAAAATCCTAAAAATTCCCTAGGCCTCTCTTTCCATCCATCTAGATGTCACTTACTGTGATTCTCTGCCAGTAGTCCTTTCCCTCTCCATTGTATTTGAACTGCAGTGCCCCCACACACCAGCACATTTTCGCTCTCATGCTGCCATCAACCATAGCACGGCTGCATCCTCTACAGCACTTCTATGCACTGTTGATCAAGGAACAGAGAAATTCTTTCTTACCAGGTTATCACCAAATACATGCATATGCAAAACAAAGGGTAATAATTTGCCAGCATGCTGAGCACTCACCTTTGTAGCTGGCACTAAATGCAGCCCTAATAAGGAGCCAGCTGGTGCTAAGAGCTCTGAACAATCAGCACCTGGCATCCTGCCTGGGCTTGGCATCCTTAAAGCAGCAGATCCTTTTAGTTTAATTTCAATATGTCCTCCCCATCTGCAGAAGTGGGGATGATACAAATCCTTTTGCTAGAGCTGCACCTCTCTTCAGCCCTGAGGTGAGGCCACCGAGATGCCTCGTCGTTCAGGTTCACGTCAGAAAACAGGGACACAACAGCAGACGGCTGCAGCAAGACCTGCAGTGAGACGCCAGTGGGCAAGGGGAGCCATAGCAGGGCGGCAGTGGGCAGCGGGACCTCAAGCCGGGAGGAGCTCCCGGCCCCGACAGGAGAGCGACTCCAGGATGACAACCTCGTGGGATGTCCGAGGTGCCCACTGCCCTCCGAGAGACCAGCGGGAGGGGAAAACGCCCACCCGAGGTGTCCTGCCTGTTGTAGGCAGTTGGAAAAAAAAAGAAAAAAGAAAAAGAAAAAAAAAAAAGGCTTTCAGTGATAGAAGAGCTACGAATGCAGCATTCCCTCCACCTTTTTTCTTTCGTTTGTTTATTTGTTACACTTTTAGAAGCAAACCTCACACCTCAGCGGGTGGCAGTGGGGCCAGGAAGGCCGCTGCCTCCCTCCTGCCGGAGCCGGCCGAGTGCGGGCTCTGCCCTGCGAGACCGTGGCCCTGGGCAGCGGGAACGGGAGGGGAGCAGGCGGGGCCGGGGGAGCTCTTCTTAAATGTCATACTTTAACGAGGATGGAAAATGTGATTTTTCTGTATGTTCCAGATAAAATTCCTTGGGGTGGTGACCTTTAGCAGCGATTCTCTTAAGAGAGGAAAGTAGAGTGTTTATCTGCACGCCCGAGAGCTTTCCCTAGTGGAAGTTTATGGAAGTGTTAAAGGGGGCGGAGGCGCTTGTCCAATGATCTGGAGGGGCTTGGAGCGGAGACCTCAGCTGGGAGACATTTAAATGGGAGACAGCTCGGCGCTGCTGCAATTTGTAGGCAGGATCCCAGCCTCGCCCTCTATGGACTGCTGGGTGGCTGCGGGCTCCCACGCCTCCCACTCCGCCGAGTGACCCGCAGCATTCAGCCCCGCTGCGCCCCGCCGAGGAGCCTCCGCCAAGCCGGGCTCCCGAGGAGCCGCCACGCAGGTGAGCCGGGCCGGGCCGAGCTGCGCATACGCAGCGGGAGCACAAATGGGTCCCGCTTGGCCAGTCTGTGCGGGAGGCAAAACTGTAATGCCTTTCTCCTACCTCCGGGGTGCGGGCAAGAGGAGGAGTCGTTCGTCGGTGCATGGCCGTGCTGTTGGGCGTGCGGAGGTGCCACCGGCTCGCCTGTCAGAGCCATAAGGCTGTCACTAGCTTTTCCGCCGGGGATCGGGGCGCTGTGACATCTCTCTCCCCTGACAGGCGCGGGGATTGCAAAAGCTTCTCATCTCCGCCTACAGCATCACTCCCAACAAATTGGATGAGGCGCCCACCCGACTCACGGCGAAATCCCGGCCCGGCCTCTGCGCGGAGCGGGTCGAGGGCAGATCCAGGTGCCGGCCTCGCCGTTGCCCGCCCTGGCCCGTTCCATCCCATCCCGTTCCTCCGAGCAACCCCGCTCCGCGTCCCCTCCCGGGCAGGTGGCGTGAGACGTCGGGGCCGCGCAGAGCAGGCGGAGGCCAAGTTGCGCGCTCGCGGGCGACTACGCGTATCCTCGGGCGGGAGGAGCGGCGGTATCTCCGCCGTACGCAGCGCCACTTTGCTCTCCGCCGGCTTTGCTCCGCAGCCCCAATAGCTCCGGCCGTCCTTCTGCAGCAGCGCTCCCCGTTACTGAGAGGCCTCGTCCCGTCGGGGCAGTCCTTGCCGAGCGGGACGTGAGCTCTGCCGGCGTGGACGGGGCGAACGAGCCACCCGGCCGTTTCGCTGCGACCTCTCGGGATCCGGGGACGAGGCTGCGCGGTGGCCGGCGCCCGCGGAGAGGTCTCTGCCGGTGCCGCCACCGCTCTGCGGGTCAGACGGCCTCCCTGATCCGACGGGAGCGCCGCGACGGCGGGCTGGCAAAGTGCGCGGCCCTGCATATCCTGCACCCCGCTCCTGGGGGCCGTTGCATCTCGTTAGCTGCCGGTGCGCTGCCCGATGTTCCTCCCTGGGGCTGCGGAGCGGGGGAAGGCTCCGCAGGAGGCGGCTGGCGCCAGGCCTGCGCTGAAGTCTCCGCTCGGGACGGGGTACGGAGCTCCCTCGGGTCTCTGACAGCGCGCACGGCCGTGCTCTGTTTCTCCTCCTGGGGGTTCAGTCCTAAGCTGTGCTAAAGCGCTTGCTGTTCTCCTGGTGAGGTTGTGTAGAAATGCGTGGCGTTTTCCGAGACGTTTCTTAGTGTCGTTGCACAGCACTGTTCCCAGGGCCCGGTGAGCAAAAGTTTCCGGAGCGACTGCGCTCTTGTAGTGCGGCTGGCAGCTGCGGGGCCGCCCCGACGTGCGTTGGTAACTCCGTGCACACGCCGTGTGCTGCTGCTTGCGGCCCTTGCAGAGAGATACCTCTCTAGAGGAGGTTTCTCCGTTTTTGACTTTTTTTTTTTTTTTTTTTTTTTTTTTTTTGTTCCTCGTGGTGCTGCCCACACGAATTAAACGGCTCGAAAAAGGAAACTCTGTGACTCACGTGAAGGAAATGTAAATGTACCTAAACTCTACCGAAGAGCCATATTAGCTTTGCCATCTTGGTCTGAGGGGAAAAAAAAAAAAATTAAAATGGGTCTATGGGAACTGCTGTTGTTTTGCCTTCTTGTATATTTAAAAATACAGATCTATAACTATGAAAACATTACATAAGACTATTTCTGTAATTCATATGTAATAAACCAGGCAGAAAATCATTCTGATCCACTGGGACATAACCACTTTGGTTTTCTCAATAGCCAGTGTTGTGTTTTGCCTCTTTGCTTGGCTGCTATTTGAAGCCCACCATGCACATTTATTTTTCTAGGTCTTCAGCAGATTATTTTTCATGCTTTCTGTCAAGCACATGAACCCGTGGCTCATCAGAATATTTTCCCAGTGAATATGGCTTGCAGATGAAATGCTGGGCCTGCAGAAAGCTGTGAGAATTTGCGCATTTCAGTGGAGCTGGGATTCCACCCAGCGCTTGTAAATGTGTCGCTGTGTGCACAGCATTTCAGGGGTTGCTTTGTGGCTCTGCCTGGGAACTCATAGGAAAGTGCTCTTTAAATACTGACTTTTGGAAGTAGAAAATGTATAAGCTAAAAAATGACTGCTTAATGTATTGAGCAGTAAACCTGAAACAGTTTACACTCCTCTGTGAATGGCTGCAGGTATCAATCTGCAGGCATCCTCATCTGCCATCAAATGATTGGATCCTAGTTCCAGATAATCCCTGTGTGAGGGGATTTGAATGGTTGGGTCCAATTCTGCTCCCGTTTGAAGTTAGCAATAAAACTGCTGTTGGCTACAGGACTGAGTGCTTGCAGATGATGATGAGGAAGAAAACTCAGTAGGGAAATATGGAAAGATTTCTGAAGTATTTTGTTACTTACTTTAAATATTAATGATATCAGATCTCTCACTGGATCTGAATGAAGTAAGTGGGACGCAAATGAAGTGTTTTGTTTGTGGTCATCTATTTATTCAAAGAATTCTCAGCTGAGTTCTCAGAAGGATTTCTGATCACACTGCTGCTTCTACAACAGCCCATATTAAGCACAGAAAGTTCTGCAGAAATTTAGCATTTATGTGCTTTTGCAGCCTGATTCTTCACAGCTCTTACCAGGCTTCAGAGCTATGACACATTCAGAATTATGGCTGTGGCAAGGCAATAAATAAATAAATAAATAAATAAAAAATTCCCAAACCATCTACTTCTGGATGTTTTACCCAAAGACTTCCTTTGGGTAAAACCTTGGGCATGGTAACATGGATTGAGCTACTTGTGCTGTTTGTGGGTTGATTGTGGTTTTTTTTTTTTTTTTTTTTTTTTTTTTTTTAGTAATAAAGAAAGCTTTTGAGGAAGCTCAAACACTAAGTTCACAAACACTAATTTGGGGATTGCAGATTGGATGAATCATTCTTGTTCCTAACATAAGCAGAGGTGTTGTCTTCTCTTATGAGGTCTGGGATCGGAGAGAGTGCAGATTGCAGGCTACTTTCATTACTGAGGCATAATACCTTATTTTCCTTTGTATTTTGCTTTTCTTCTTCTCCCCCGCCTGCTCCCCCCCACAAAAAAAAAAAAAAAAAAAAAAAAAAAATCAGAAGTTTTTAAGTAAATATGTAATAAGCTACTATGATAGGAAGTTCCTACTTAAACTGCCATTGGGGATCATGAAGTTAACACAGTCTCTTTGGAGGGTCTGTATTTCAATTGTATCTAGTCCTAAATATTTGGATTGGATTATTTTTACTTTCAGATGTATATTTTGGAATATATAAAATTGAACCATAGCAAAAGGTGCTGCTGAGTTGTTAACTTTTACTCGAATCACAGTTTCTTCTTTGAGTATAGTTTCTCCCTTTACGGTTATAAACCAAGTGTCATGGTTATAAACCATGACACCAAGTCAGTGAAAAATTCTATTTCTTCCTGTTTTACAGTTATATTGGAAAACATACTTGTGTTTCCTAAGGGTGAAGCACATACTACTTAACGATGCATCAATCTGGGATACATATCTTAAAATAGTAGACGTTACCATCAGATTTTCCCCAAATCACCATCCCCAAATCACTCGTTTTCACATGACTAGACCTTACATGACTATGCCATCAATTGCACTTTTGTGGAAAAATGGTGGAACAGCGTGGAGATGATCTGTTATAGGAACAAAAGTAGTACGGGAATATGCGTAGTGGTGAAACAAGCACTCAGTTATGGGAAACTAAACAAACACCTGAAGTTTCCTGGCACTGCTTAGAAACTAGCAATTTATTTTTGGTTGTGTGCAATGATTTTTTTCTTCTTCTAAGGTTCTGGCACCACGTTGAGTAAATAACATGCATACTGTCTAAATACAGTGTGGGTATACAGTCACCAGAGAAATAAGAATAGTTTTGGAAGGAGTCATTCTGGTCACTTGAGGAAATAAGTGGTATTTTATAACTGTATTTTAAAAAATATTATATTGGCGGAATGTGGAGACTGAAAAGAAACATGCTTAAATAACATTGAGGTGGTAAAAGAAATGGGAAAAAAACAGCAAATATGAAGTCCAAGCTGACACTTGAAATTACACTTCATTAGTCTTCAGTTTGAATTCCCGTTTTTTGTTTCGTGTCAGAGCCTTAATGTTATTAAAATAGCATGTTCTGTGCAATATTGCGCTTAGATATTTAGAGCAGCCCTTCCAAAATGCCTGCTAGAGTCAGGAGAAGTGTAATGCTTACAGCCCTCTCTTGAAGCCTGAGGCTTCTTCCAAACATAAGAGATACTGCTACTAAGCCGAAATGAACAAAATGAATGGCTACTGGTAAATAAATCTAAATGAATAAAATGAATGCAGACATTTATCATGTGCGTCATAAGCTCCAGTATGTTAACAGTCTGTAGACAAACACATAAAACGTTAGCACGAGCAAATCCCTACAGGAACCTCCTGTGACACTTTTCCACTCCAACAATTCCTTTTCCAGTCACTGGTGAGAAATACTTTCTGAACCTCATCAACCAAAACTTACTCTTTCTGTGTGACTGGAAAGACCTAGTAACTCTAACAGACGTCTTGTGCAGCAGATGACACAATACCCTGAGCTTCCGCTGAATCTCCAGGGGGCCCTTCCAGGGTTGGCACTTCACCATCTATCTGCCTACCAAGGATATGGGCCTTAGTTTCACATACATTGGCTGGGCAGTAGGACAAGCAGGAATTTTCAGTTCAAACAGTGATTCACCTTTACTGATAAAATAGGTTAAATGAAGGATATGACCACAGCACTTCAAAAAAGGTAGAGGACACTGACTTCCTCATTTTTTTTATTCACAATTCTTCCCCTTTTTAATGCCTGAGCTTCCAGTTTCTGGTGGCCATCTTCCAAGCTCCCCACAGTGAAAGTCTCCCGAGATCCTCCCTCTCCAGTCTGTCTTGCTTGCTTTCACAAACAACACGAAGACTGTGGTATTTCAGGAAGAGAAAGGAGCATGGCAGGTCACTTTCTAGCTTTTGGGTCTTGAGTTGACCCAGCAGCCCAAAGAGCTTGGAAGCAATAGAGTTGATGGAAGATACCTGGGTCGTAAAGACTAAGGAAGATATATAGGCTGGTAATTAGGTTTGGAGTATGAATGCAGTTTTAAGGAACTTGATTATCTCTACTTTTTGCACTTCTTGAAGTTCTTCTTCTTTTTTTCTTTTTTTTGTGCACAATCAACATGCTTTTATCATACTGTTATCTCATGGTTCTTAATGTCATATGAAATTCTACTGTCCTCATATGTCCTTTTGCTATCATGATGGATGTAATGAATAAAAGAGGGAGATTTATGACTGCTTATGTGTAATATTTACCAAAAATTCAGAGTAATGTGAGAAGGTGTAATTTGAAATTACAGATGCATCTCTTTTAATTTGTATCTAAATATCAATTTATATTAGTTGCCTATCTTGTGCACTTGTTTCATTACATTTGGACTCAGTGGATCAGTTCAGAGGTGCAGCGTGGCAGAGCTTGGAATGCTGTATTCAGATAACAGGTAGATACAGCCTGCACACTTTGGATGTACATATGCAAGGAGTTGTACAGAGCTTCTGAGTCTGACAAAGGAAGATGTAGAATGGATGTCCTCTGGTACTGCCGATAACTATGTCATAAATCCTAGCAAGGCATAAAATCATTCCTTCCACTTGTGTAAATCAGGAGGATCACTCCTGGTGTCAAAAAGCTATGGGAAGGGAATGAGAACTGTTTAGTAGGGTGCATGAAGAAAGGAGCTGGAAAAAGTTGCATGCAATACTAAGTGAAATTCTGTATAGATTTATTTTAGTGTCTGACTTTCAATCACAATATAGGAAAGCTTTTATCACTTGGTAATTTGGAAACTGCTTTCCAGCTGGTGAAAGCAAGGAGCTCATCTTTTATAAGTGTGCATTCATGCACGCACTCACATTTCTTTTATGGAGCTGAAAATTTACTGCATACCTGATTCCTGTTGATATCTGAAATCCACAACTGTGCTTTATTTCCTCAACTTCCTCTCTATAGGATGGTCCGCACACTGTATGCCATTGGTGCTGTGTTTCTTCTGATGGGATTTCTGCTACCGACAGCAGAAGGCAGAAAGAGGAATCGTGGATCTCAAGGTGCTATCCCTCCTCCTGACAAGGATCAGCCCAATGATTCAGAGCAGATGCAGACACAGCAGCAGTCGGGCTCCAGGCATCGAGAAAGAGGAAAAGGCACTTCAATGCCTGCTGAGGAGGTGCTGGAGTCCAGCCAGGAGGCACTGCACATCACTGAGCGCAAATACCTGAAACGGGATTGGTGCAAAACTCAGCCCCTCAAACAAACTATCCATGAAGAGGGCTGCAACAGTCGCACCATTATCAACAGGTTCTGCTATGGCCAATGCAATTCATTCTACATCCCCAGGCATGTCCGCAAAGAGGAAGGCTCTTTCCAGTCTTGTTCATTCTGCAAGCCCAAGAAGTTTACCACCATGACTGTTACCCTCAACTGCCCCGAGCTTCAGCCCCCTAGGAAGAAGAAAAGAATCACCCGCGTGAAGGAGTGTCGGTGTATATCTATTGACTTGGACTAAGCCTAGAAGTGCGTTGTACTGATTGCACTCTGACTGTCCGCAATCATTGCCAATGTGAGTGAGTGGCATGAACTAGCAAAGCTTTGAGGCTGGGCGAAACTGAAAGGAACCCAGTGAATTACCTGAAAAACAACAGCTAGCCAAACAAAAAGAACACAATGGATGTAAGGGAAGAACAGGCACATGTGTGTAAGAGAGAAAAAGGGTGTATACAAGCAAATATATGAATGGTCACTCTGAAAAAAAAGAAAAAAAAAAAAGAAAAGGGTAGGAAATATTAAAAATCTACTTACCCACAGTGATGAATTAGGTTTCCTAGCGTATATTCACATTTTTGTCACTTACAGGAAAAGTGGAGCTGTGGCTTTTGCTAATGTTCACTTGCCATGCTATTTGCTTTTACTGTATTATGAGAAACATCAATGTGAGAGGACAATATATCTGAAAGCATGAATCTATTAAATATGAAGTAGGAAAAACGCAGTTATGCCATAGCAAAAGCATCACTGATAATAGCAGCTTTATCAAGAGTTTGTAACATCCTTCTTCAGAAATATAACTGTAATACAAAGGCTGCTTTTGGAGAACAATGGGGAAGTGGGAGTGCTGAAAAGTCAGCATAGGTGGATGGAAAACAGAACCACAGCAAGTTAGAATGCAAAAGGCTAAAGTAAGTAGACAGGGGGAGCACGAAAGGGTATGGGAAAAGGAAAGATACTTAAATAGGAAGACACAGAGGAAGAGATATTGTCTTCTGTTTACGTTTTGCTTTAATTTATATACCTAGTCATATATTACGTAAATTAAAGAGAAACTATATACGAGGCTATAAATATACTTTTGAATTCTAATGTCTCTCTACATCAATCAAACCCATTTCTGTGCCACTAGATCCATCTGTTGTCTTGTATTTCTGATAGCAGTTATTCCTCATATTACATATATATGTATATGCAGTATCTTTTATTCATTGGTATCTATACGTACATACAATGAGTCTACAGACTCCATTGTGCCTATCTGAACTCTTTCCTGTTTTTCACACACATACATAGAAACGTACATACCGCAGCACAAAAATCTTGCTAAGCAAGATCAAGTACAGAATGGCAGTAATTTAGTACATAAAGAGCAAAGAAAAAATTAAAACAAGCATCATGTGACTGCAAATGCAATAACCACACAAGAGACAAAAGACACGACATTCATGACTAGTAAACATTGCATTGTTATTGTTATTTTAGCTTTGCCACAGGCATGCAGTTTGTTGAAAAAGAGATGCAGAACTTTGCCAGCAATAATCCTCTTTTTATATCTTTTACCACAGACTTGCATTTAAGCAGGATTTGGACTAAGTAAAGAGAATTTCCTGAAAATTAAGGGCTAACGCATTTCCCTTCTCACTGAGGGGGAAAAAACGCATGAAAGGGGACACTACTCCAGCAGCTCAATGAGTGTCACCTGGGAGATCAGCCTGTCTTCCCTCCTTCAGGATTAGGAGCACAAGCTGGATGCGGGGGGTAGCTTTTGGCAAGAGTGCGGAGAGTCTCATAGGAGAAGTCATTCCAGCAAGGTGGTCCCAAAGCCCTGGGGCTGGCTGGAGAGCTACAGCCTGTCCAGCTGCACCTCGAAGTGGTTGCTGAGACAGGCATAGGGCACTGGCTTGGCAGGACACCTGTTCAGGCGCTGAAGTCCCTGTGGTGCTGCAGATCCTGCAGACCTCCCTACCTCCACCGACATGCCAACAAAAAGACCCCATTTTGCACCTTCAAAAAGGCTTGGTTCTAGGCTCAAGTTAACAGTGTGGTGGGGCTTCAGTAGCCCAGGACACACTTTCCCCATCAGCAGCAAGACTTCTCTCCCCACAGTCAGCGTAGCTGTACTTTCTCACACTAAAAGCCTCTCTCTCAGCCACAGGGTGATTATTTTGACAGGATTTCTGTCCATCAAGCTCTGAGAGAGACAATTCTGCTCTTAAGTAACATGTCCACAGGGTAAACCATAGGGTGGCATGCCACAGATGCATAGGATGTGCAGTCGTTACATTAAAAGCCACAGATGTAACTCAATGTCTCATGCAATTACTGGCAATATCCTGCATCTCCGCAATTCATATATTTTTCCTCTGAAATCCACTGCTATGAGATCTATGTTTATCAGATTAAGAGATCGCAGCTCATTGGTTCATATTCTTAAAATGCATTTCACTTGGTGCACTCTCACTCCGCAGGTATGACACATTTCTTCGTGGATTTTAAAATCCAATTTTAAAATCTGGCATTACAGGAGGTAGATTTCCACTGTGTGGAATGTGAATAGTTAGAAAGATATGGATATTTAATGTTATTATTAATACAAATCCTCTTTCACTGATAATAGGCAGGGGTTGTTCTCCTTTAAATTAATTTTTTGAGTTGGTTTGCAGGTAACAGGGCCAACCTCAGCCTTTGCTGAAAGTTTTATACTCTGTAGTGTTTCTGTTCAATAAATGGGCACACCTTAAGAATGAAATTATTTCTTCATTTGAAGTCGATAGTAAAACACCCGTTCTCTTTAACAGCAGTGAGATTTTATCCTAGGCTGCTGTGTCCCTAACGTGAAGCATGGCTTTAGACATTACTGACTTCAGTGTTCTGAAGGGCAACTGATAAAAATGTTACAAATTCTAATGTTCCAAACAGCCTGTGCACAGCTCACAACGGAGCTCCCCTGGAGGCAGATCCCCCTATAACTATGTAAATTTTATACAAAGAACTTTTATGAATTGCTAGTTATTGCCTGAGAGTAAGAAAGTTCTGCTAACTTACAATTATACCAGATATTTAATATCAACCACAATATGTATTTAAATGTCTGCTTTATTCTAAAAACAATGGACCATATAACCTAAGGCTGCAGTATTGTCATGCTCGGTCTCACAAAGCAAAACTTGGTTTAAAATGAAGTTTTAATTATTTTGTAACTGAATGGAATTGGAATTTTTCTTCCCAGCATTTTGTACGTCATTTTAACTACTAGTAACAAATAAATAAAATATCTTCTCCAGTCCATGTCTATTGTTGTTTTTATTTTTTTTTTTATTTCTTCCTTAAGTTTCCAGCTCTTTCTGGATCTGTTGTACTTTACTCTGACTTCTGTGGCTTCTCTTAATTATAAAAGGGCTTAGATTCTGACAATGAGGCACAGAGACAGGCAATGGCACCATCATTCAACATAACTACTTCAAAAAGTCTTTAAATGAGATCTGTCACTTCCCCCTTACCCTTGCACAATTTATAGAAGGAAAATCTCAATCTTTACTCACACTTTTCCCCTTGTAAACCATATAGTGACAGTTCAAAATATAAATCAAACTTGAATGGTTATAGAGGTGGAGCTGGACTCGACATGCTAGCCTCATATGTTACCTCAGCTTTGTGTCTATTCATCAGAGCACTTCCACATAAAACAAAACAAAACGAGAAAGAGTAGGGAATATCTTTGCAATGCAGAGCTCTCAGCAAGCCCTTGACATGGACAGAGAATTATACAGGAGTATAGGAGGATCTGTCGTTCACTTTCACTGCCCCTAATGTTCTCTGCCTTTGTAGTGGAAGCTGCTCAGGTTGGGACCACAGTCCCACAGATCTATTCTCTTTCCTTCCAAGGAGCAGCAATGACACAGATACAGTCCCACAAGTAGTCAGCACGTAGTGGCTTCCTGTAGCACACCCAGGTGACCAAGAGGTGAGCTGGCCAGCATCCATCCATGAAGGGCAGGTGATGGTAATGTTCTGCACAGTTTTACTTCATGAGCAGCCCTTGTGAAATAATGGAACTTACTACTCTGTGGCATACTGCTTCTTAGCGCAACTTAAAGGCTTTAGCTTTACTCTTTCTTTATTTCTGTCCATTCATTTATTCTCTTGTTCTTCTAAAATTTACTGAAAGGAAAATACTGCTTGTTATTTGTAAAAAGCAATTGACTTTTTCTGGTCTGAGATATGGATGTAGTCAGATATAATAAATTTCCATGAAGAGATGTGCAAATATATGTTCATATGAAGATTTAAAACAGAGAGAACAACCTCCTGGACTTACCTTTCTAATACTTTCTAGTACTATGGCCTTATTATTTATATGCTAACAAGCTCAGGCCGTCATTATAATTTACATTTGGCCTACATACCAACTTTAAACTGAAGATATGTCCACTGTGAAGTCCTGCATGCGTTATAGATACTACACTAATCAAAAGAAGATGAGAGGGAGAGAGGGAATCCATGCACCTCCCTCAGCTTTCACAGAAACAGATAGAAATAAGACTATTTCTTGCTCTCCTTCCAGTGAGGCAGGCAAGATCCCTGTTCTGGATTTGTGCATGTGCTCTGTAACCCATGTGCTGTGCAATAGATTTGCACATATGTGATCAGATGGAGGCATCAAGCACAAGCCAGACTGGGCATACGTGAGACATCTGAGCAACACATGGCCATGGTGGGTGCAGCATGCTTCGGATGGGTCCTTTTCTGGCTGCCTGTCAGCAGTAGTGCTTGGCCAGAAAAAGGGCACTGCGTCTGCAAAAGCGATGCAGAAATGTAACCTTGTAGTTCATTTGTTCCTGGGCAAAAAATAAAGATAGACCAGAGAGCTGCCACTGTGGGGAGTGATGTTTTGTGCTGTCCAGTGTGCAAGCCTGACCTGGAGCAGTACTTTCAACAGATTTCTGAAAGGAGAAACTCCCAGTCACTGCCAGAGCCTGCAATGCTGCTTTGCTTAACCCAGTGTGACAGACTGCTCCTTCTCTTTTTAAATAGCATGGGTCTTATTCAATCCAAAGAATAACCTTCTTTAGAAACTACTCCTCCAATTACTGAAATACAGCAGTTACTCAACACCATCAGCAGAAGGCTCCAAATAATTTCTGAGTGATTTTACTTCTCTGGGCAGCTGCATTAACCAAAGGACTGCAAAGGGGGAAGCTCCACAGTTTAACATTTCAGAAAGTAAAAAGTATAACGAATTCAGTCAAAACATTGAATGTATCACTGCTACATCAGGCCTCGGCTTTAAGACATCAAAAAGTTTAACCATAATATGCTTTGGACACCTTGCTTTTTTTCTTGTTTGTTGGCTGAGATTTAAACCACAAGTACAAGCTATATACAGGTATGGTAACAAATCCCAGAATTGCAGATTTCTGATGCTACCTTGTAATGAAGCTTCATAAAAGCATCTGAAGCTTGTCTGCACTGCCTGCCCATGAATGTAGCTGATGACTTGAGGGTGCCCTTTGACAATGTGTGACTTCTGTCTGCCTGAATTCCACTCCAAGCTTTATATAGTCTGGGGCGAGGAGGACAGAAATGTTAACTACCACTTGCTCACTCTCCCAATACATTCGAAAAATATTGACAATAAAATTAATTGTCTGTCTCTTTCAAATGGCTGAGGGGCAAGATGTGAGGATCAAAGTATAAACTGACATAAAAGAAGAATGTTTGGGATCACATTAAAAAAAAAAACCAACAAATTTCTAAGTTGTGATAAGCAATAACCTTTCTATGCTGTGATACAGATGTAAGTCACATAGTATGGGGATGAATCAAATCAGGAAGTTACACTGACTCCCAATAAAGTTCTGCAAATAAAATTTGGAATTACCATGTTTTCATTTCTTTTTTAAAGATTACCTTATGGAAACAGCTATATTCCAATTCATATTACACGAGATCAAACGAACAAAGGTTAAAATAATATCTTCATCTCTAGAATAATTGAAAGCTATATCTTAACCTTTTGCCTAGTAATACCAATATGGATTCCAGCAAGAAAGGAATTGGAAAGAATTAATATGTCAGTTACAGCTCATGTGGGATACCAATGCTAAAATTCATTAATCATAATTTTATAGTTATTGCATGGCATCACTACAGAGCACTGTTGGTATTTATTTATTTATTTATTTTAATAATGAATGTGCAGACCATTATATTGTTTTTCTTTCAAGTTAAACTTTACTGAATTTCTACATTTTGTAATTAATTTGTTGAGGACTAGAATCAGGTGCAGTCATTTTTATATCTAGAAGAAGATACATATTCTCAATCTTACCTTGCCTTGGCATGTTCTTCTATCCAGGAAATAAAAAACTGTGCTGTATACATGTAGCATACATGTATTTTTCTCTGTAAAAAAAGGCATTGAAAGGTACTGAAAGTCTGAAAAATATACATCCTCTATTTTTGTAAAAGTATGGCCCAGTGTGCCAGGCTTCTTAATAATGTACTGTATGGGTTATAATCATAAAATAAAGTCAACAGTGAAAACACAACAGTAAGCATGAAGAATTTATGTTTTGGGGAGGGATAAAGGGTTGTGTGTAATCAGTAAAGACTACTTAATGGCAACGATGAAGACTGGCTGAACCTCTCTCCTTAGGATATGAAGTACCTTGAATGTCCCTTAGGAAACAGATGTGCATGAGGAATACATATTTTCATTTTTGTTGTTCATTTGTTTCGGCTTCAAATGAATAAAGGGGGTCAATTTTGGGAGCTAAGTTAAATCTAGCAAATAAAAAAGAGAAAGAAAACTATGTGTGCAATGGAAAGATCTTACCAAGTGGATCTAAATCCTATGGTAGGTAATTTGATCTAATTTTTGCAGAAAGGCAAATGCCAGATGTTTGCTCCACTTTGATCTTAATAACACTTAAGGCTGCAGACAATAAGATTGGTTTAAAATTTATTGTCTCTTTGATTTCTCCATTCTAATGCGTTTTAAATTCTTTACACAAGACAGATCTATATATAGGCAACTGGGGTGGCATCAGAAGCATTGTATACTTAAGACATTCTTGAAAACCTCAGTGTGGAACAGTGTTTGCTGTTTTATGCATCAAAACAAAGCCAGATTTTATACAAGCGACGTTCAATTTTCTTTTTATTATAATGTCTCTTTTTATTTTGCATATGAAATTCTGACTTGCATCTGTGGCACAGCTCCTTATATGCTTTTATCTTTCAATAACCTTATTAGAAGTCAAGACAATATATTAAATCAACATTAAGCAGCAGGAGTTGAAAGAAAAGTTAATCCCTTCCCTTGCATTGGGAGTGTACTCCATGTAGATCTTCAACTTCACCTTTAAGTAGCATTTAGGATTCTTTGTGTACAGAATATGTTTTAGAAGAATGGACTCAAGAATGGCCTTCGAGGAACCAAACATCTAGGAGGTCTTGCCTTCAGTTTGGATCCTCAGGACCCGAAGGAGGCCATTGTTCTGTGAATATGATAATAATAAGAAGCGTAAGGCTACTTAGTAAGTGCTCTCAGGTTTCTAGCGGAGTGTCTTATATATTTACTATTACTGAGGAACGATGACAAGCAAGTGAGACTGGGAACAAACAGTAGAGAAAAAAGCAATGATTAAAAGGAAACAAATAAAAAAGAAGTTGTGGTATGCAGCCCGAATATGTTATCGTAATTCTCTGGCATAGCTCAGAGCCATCTGTCCCTCAGATCCATGCATGATGTCTTTAAACAATTGTTTTCATTCTGCTCAGCCCAGTAGTCTGAAAGTTCAAAAAGTCAATTTTTCTCTGAAGGAAATTCTGACTTCTTCTGATGATGAAAGTGCCAGTGCTCAGCAAACTGATTGGACAGATGCACTGGCAGATTTATTTCAACTAGTAGTGTAGAAGAGTTATCAGAAGTCGAGGGCCTCCCCTCTCCTCTATCACAAATTTTAGTTCTCACAGCAACATTCTTCATAAAACAGAAGAGAACTTCCTTTATTTAGAACCCAGTATTTTCATTCATTACCAGGAACAAAACACTATACAGCCATGTATAATAATAAATATTCTCTTCTTATCACATTACCTTGACAAGTGAAAAGACTTCCAGTTTCCTTACCCTAAGGGAGAAGCTGGGCAAATGAAAAATCTCCTCCAGGGAGAATTGCCTTAGATTCAGATGTATCTTCTCATCTTTTCTTTATCATCTTTGTCTCATCCCCGGAATGAAAATGTCTTTAATGCAGTTTACTGTCTTTATTCATC